AGAAAATGATTTATTATAGAAAATCACTACATCACGCTCTCACTAACAAAAATGCAAATGTACTGCCTTTTATAGGCCAAGGAAAAGGGGGGGATCAGAAAAAGAGAGATATAGTAACCCAATAAAATAGTAGAGAAGAGCGAACCTCTACCAGGTACCAACATGAATTAACGGGCGGTCAGATGTCGTTCGCTTACACCTCCCCGCTTCAACCAGATGAGGCTGGCCTCATCGGCTAGTAATATCCGCAAAAAAAAACAACAAAAAAAACAACAAAACAAAACAAAAAAACAAAGAGCTACAGAAAATGTTTCAACCGATGTGAGTAGGAAACGGGTGGCTGAGGAAGAAAAACAAAACACAAAGAACTAAAATGGAATGAAATTCCGCATGGTTGTGTGACCGATCCTCGCGGCTTTGTTTGTTCTTGCTAACAGTGGGGTGTGCTCCCTGGTGATGCATGCGGACCTGGGTGACGAGATAGATCCAACGGTAGATGGGAGCAGTGGAAAACATGTGTTGGTCGTTGGTCGCGATGAAGAGAGCGAGCGCGAACGGTCATGTTGACAGGTTCGGTAAGCCCGTTGTAGCAAATAGCCAACGTTGTCGGTTGTTGGATAGGATTGGATGATATCATGACCTGACGACATAATAAGAAAAACACGAATAACGCAAAACTGAAGTCGGACGGAAAACTATCGGCTGGTAACGGGGAAATTGGTTCTGCCGGCATGTGGACGATGGGTGGTGCTAATAGTTGTTCAATTATTGCCTCGTCGCGTGCGTCAAGGACAGGACTCGGTGCTTCATCGATTTCATCGCCATCATTATTGCGGGTCGGTGCATAAACAGCAAGAATAATTGGTTCATCGTCGGATATGGGACTTGGCGCTTCATCGATTTCATCGTCGTCAATATTACGAGTCGGTGCATGAACAGTAAGAATGATCGGATCGTCGCCTAGTTCGATCGGTACGTGTTCTGGTGGAGAACGTATGGTATAGGTGATGGTTGACTTAGATGTATGAGGAAGAGGAGTAACAATTGCTGTTGTCAACGGTGAGGGTGTTGAGGTGCGAACAACTGGGTGACCAGGAGTGTTTGCCAATGCCAGTGGTGTTGGTATATTGGTATTGTGTTGCCCAAAGATATGGCATAGATCAGCCTTATATTTCTTAAGTGATGATGTATCCCCAGCTGTTGGAGGCGTCGGAAAACTTGAATTTATGGATGTTAAAATGCTCGGTGGAGATGGAAAGATTAGGCCCTGCGTAGGACTGACCGGTTTGGGCGGGTATTTTCCTTTCGAAAATACTCGATGTTTGATGGTCGACGTGGTGGCGACTAATGGATGTTGCTTTGTAGGGAATTCTCACGCTCGTTTTCGGCGAGGCGACGACAACGTTGTATAAACTGGATCATCATGTGATAATGGTTGATTTGTCACTGGATTATTGCCGAGTTCTACTGGAACGACATTCCTTTTTGATGGTGGTTGAGACGATTTAGACGAATGTGTCAACGATATTGGTAGGGCAATACGACGCAACAGAATTGTGATTGAACGAATCGGTTGTTGTGATGGTATTGACGGTGGAGGCATCGATTGCTCGTTATCCGAGATATCTGATATGGGCGAATAATGCATATGAAATAATTGTCAAATAGTTCGTTGCACGGATGTTGAAATAAGGAGAATACTACGTGTATAAATAACAATGGCTATGTACGTCTCCAAATGAATAAAATGAATGTTCGCTTGTCTTCCTCTGCTATAAATAAGATCTGTCGTATATATATATAGAAGTATAGAAGATGTGGACGTTTTACAATAACATAGAATCTTCGACAGTAGATAACATTTATATCCTTTGTTTAAATACATAAAATATACATATATGCATCAGGAATAAAGTGCTATACGTCGGTATCAGAAACGCATGTGGACTGAAAATTGATAAATGTTTAAAAACTAAGTATGAGCTAAATAACAACGTCCGCGGCCAATTCGGTTGTTGACTAAAATACGTCCAATGCCGGAGCGGTTTTGGACTGAAACTCAGAGATGTCTGCAAATTAATTTCGAGTTGATTAATCACGACCGCAGCCGATTCGGCTTTGGACTGAAACACGTAATTTTGGAGTCTGATTTGGACTGACACTCCGAATGAGTGGGTACTGACAAAAAATAGAAAGACTAATAAGTGAGTGGGGAAAGTGAAACTGATATGATTGATTGCCATTTGATTTAACAAGACCTGGTGAGAGCTGCCACCAATCCCACAGAAATCTCTTGCTGGAATTTAAGAGATTACTAAACACGTTGTTGTTGTTGTTTTTTTTGTATAATATGGCGTGTCCGTTATGTTAACCAAACAACAATGTTCACTAACAGAGCAGTTAGTCCACTGGTCGGGGATAGCAGGGTCGCAAATGGTTTGAATGAATCTTTCGTTTGGATCCATTTGCATTTTCGACAACGAATGTTTGTCGTCCCGTTTGCTGAACAATGGTGTATGGGCCCTCATACAATTCTGCAAAAGCTGGACGCATCCCCGGGATGACAATAAATACTTTTTGTCCTATTTCAAATTTGAGATTCGGACGGGAGCTATCGTAGCGAATTTTCGCTCGTTCTTGACTATGACGGATGTTGAAACGAGCTTGTTTGTTGTAGAATAGGCCTAGCCGATTGTGATGTTGAGTGTAGTCGGATACATGGGGCAACGTGATGCGTTTCCTCTTTGGATCAAACGGCAATCTCGGCTGACGACCGTAAAAAACTTCATACGGTGTGAACTTAGTTGAGCGATGAAGAGCGGTGTTGTATGCGTAGATGACCGCTGGTAGTTTATCATCCCAATTATCTTTGTCCTCATTTTGAAATTTCGCCAGTTGTTGTTTCAAGGTTGCATTAAACCGCTCCACCTGACCGTTTGTTTGCGGATGGTAAGGTGTTGAGAGGTTGTGAACGCACCCAAGATTATTCAGGACCTCCTCAAATGTGAATGATATAAAATGCGGTCCGTTGTCAGTTTGCACTTGTGCTGGGGGACCAAACTGAAATGCCACCTCAGTGATGAATTCAGCTGCCGTTTGAGCCGTGCAGTTCGGTACCGCTTTCGCAATGACAAATTTGGACAAATAATCGGTTAAGACAATGATATATTGATTCTCATTCACTGTTCTTGTATATTTACCTGCAAAATCAATTTCTACAAGGTTAAATACACCCTCGGGACACTCAATCAATTCCATGTGACCTGAGGCTTTTTG